TGCAGCGGCCACTAGCACACCCCTGGTCCCATGGGGCTGCACCTCTCCAGGACCAACTCCACCTCCCGGGCCCATGCACTTCTCTGAGTAATTGCTTCTTAAGAGAAACCTGCACGGTTTTTAGGTCATTTGCTTTGTCACAGCTGGGAACATGGGCACAGGGCCGTTGTGAACTCGTTCTGTCAGACCCCTGGCCTGAGCACAGTGCTGCAGAAAGTGTTTTTTCAGCACAGAACTAAAAAGAAAAAGATATGTGTGTGTCTGTATATTTATGAACTTTTCCCTGTTTTTTTTTTTCCTCAAATTGTATTTAAAAATTGAAAACGTGTGAGTGAAAGGGGCAAACTTTCCCAGAAAAAAAGTTCATTTATCAAAAGCTGTTCTTCATCACAAAAAGCCACAGCTCACTGCCCCTTAGGGAAGAGGCTGTTCTGCGGGGGCTGGGGGAATGGGACAGAGCAAGGGCCTGCCCGTCTGCACTGCTGCTGCTACAGGGAGGAAGATGAGAGCAGGGCAAGCACATGAGAAGAGTTAGGCTGGCACTGACAAACCACTAGTGGTTCTTTTGTGTACTTAATGGGCTTTTCTGTCTTGAAGGTATCCAGTCTGTTTTCCAGCCCATCCTCCTCTGGTTTCAGGCTCTCTCGCAGGTGCCCTGGGGGTCCCAATGCCTGCAGTGGTGCATGGCTGCCACCGAGGGCTGCCTTTGCCTCTCTACTTGCCTTGGTGGCAACAGGAGAGGGGCTCTGCTGATTTAGTTTTTGGCTTTGGGAGGTGTTGGTGTTTGCTGGAGGAAAGCCAAGGCAGTTCAGGCAGAGGAATGAGCTGGTCAAACTTCTCGCAGAGTGTAAATCTGGGCCAAAGCTCTTCCTTAGCAGCATGATGGGTGGCCGTTAACAGAATTGCGTAGCACTGACCCCAGCCTGGTGAAATGCTGCTGGCTGTGCGTTGCAGGATGAGCAGCTGAGCTGCTTGGCTGGTCAGCAGCGTGGGGCAACCTGCGAGCTTATAGGAACACAGTGCAGCTGCCAGGGTAGCTGCAGGGGTCTCTGCCTGGCACTGGACACAGCGGCTTTTCAACCACTAAAACCACCACAGGGAGTGTCTAAGGAACACCTGAGAAAACTTCCCCATCGAAACAACAGTGATCTGTGCATTGCTCCTTCTGCATATCACTAGCTGGCTCCTGTGGCATCGGCCAGTGCTTCACCTTCTTGCCAGGGTGAAAGCTGGGGGATCTCACATCAGGTGTTGCAGCACACTGAGAGCATGTCCCTACAACTGGCAGCCAGCTGCAGGTAGGGCAGCATCGTGGCTGTTGCTGGCAAAAGTCTTTTTGCCTTGGTGTAAAAGGCAAAGACCTGTCTCCTTATACCTCCAGTGCCGTTGTCCTGCCATGTGCCAGTGGCTGCTGTTTGCTTCTACCCAGTCTCCCTTCCCACAGGATCCATCACAACCTAGAGGTGAGTTATTCAAGAAAATCAAAGCAAAATTCTCCCGCTGCTCTGCAGCTGCCTGCCCTGCATGGCAGAGAGCCGTGGCCCCGCCGCAGGGCAGCACCCACCCCAGGCAGCCCCTGCCCACAAGGAAAGCGGGTGGTGGGAAGCTCAGAAATGCTTTCCCCCTCTCTTCAAAAGCGCCTTGTTAAAGCAGTGCTGGGAAAAGAAATGCTTGCCTCAGAGTCGGATCCCTGCCATGCTCAGCTGCACACACAGCACTACTGCTTGCAGCTGGTTTCTGCCCAGGTGGCTGGGGAATTTTTAGGGATTTTGAACCTAGTTTTACATACGTTTGGACAGAGGCTGTTTAACAGCAGGATGTTACCTGACTTTGCGAGCAAATCCTGTCACTTGGATTTTTTGTTAGTTGGCTGGGGGGTCTATAGGAGCTGCTCTTGGCATTACGTGTGAATTAATGCCTGTTAACTAATAGGTAAAATTGCAAGGCTGCAGCTGTGTTGTTTAATTAGGAGCTCTGTGTGCTGCTCCCTGTATCGTTACTGCGGGTGAATCACTGGCTGTCATTCGAGCTGGAGCCACTAACTGCATTACGGAAGAGAGTGAAATGAGACATGGGTCTGGATTAGAGGGTGCCTGAAAAGCTTATTCACATGAGCCCTGCCTAGTGCCTTCACATATCCTCCCACACAGTCCCTCATCCTGTTTGCAGTCACTCTCCATCATTTCTTGTAAATAGATGTGAAAAAACGTGTGCCTTTTCAGTAACTGCCGTTCTCTCCCCACCGTGTCCCTGCCATCCCAGTGGGGTGGGGAAGCAGCAGCCAGCCCCAGGCCACCCTCTGGTTTCAAATGCGGAGAGACAAAGCAGCCTCTAGGGCCAATGTTTTCCTCAGCCCTTTGAAGGAGACAGGGGACAGCTTTGTGCAAGTAGCCATTAGAGGAGCCGTCCTCTTTCCATCAGGGGCTGGTGGATCTCTCCTTTCCCGCCAGAGAGCTGTTGCTTCACCTGGCAAGAGCTCTCCATCCTGCTGCTGACCGATCAGTGAGTTCAGGATCTGCTTTCATTGGTGATGTCAAGTCTTTAGTGCTTGGCTATGGAGCAGTTAATATTTTCCATGTTCATTTATTAATTGTTCTTTCTTCCTTGGAGAGGGCCTTCAGTTTTCTTGAATAGGTTTCTGGAACCCCATCATCTTTTTATGTGCCCTAAGGGCTTCTCCTCGGCCCTGTGATCCTGACTTCCTCTGCCCCAGTCCCCAGACGTCGCCTGCCCAGGGCTCTGCTGCTTCTCTGTACCCTCCTACTGAGCTGTGAAGATTCAGCCATTACTAACTGTACTGGTTTAAATAACCAATGGCAGCTAAAATAAATGAGAGATGCAATGAGGTGCCATGTTAATGCACTTCCCTACTCAGGCTTTTAAAGAAAAAAAAAAAAGTCTTTTGTGAATCATTGATAAGTTCATCTTCACTCAGGGTCACTTATGCAAAAAACTAATATTGATTTTTCGTCTTTGGTTAGAGTAGCTTCCCACGCATCTGTTCAGGATGCAATGGGGACTCACTTATCAGCATATGACTCACCTACTCCTCTAAATCCTTTTTTTCAAGGATGTGGAGTAGCCAACCAGCTCAGAGGATGCTTGACCTTATACTATAGGATCAGAGGTCACCCTTGAGCTACAAGCTGAGACTCTAGACATATTTTCCATGTTTGCTTTGTTCCTATTAAGCAGGAATATCTTTAACAAGTAAGATAGCTCTCAGAGTCCTTTACAAAGTCATTAAATGTTCATTAGGGAAGCAGTTCTGCTAACCCTTCAGATTCTTATTGATGTCCTTCCAGGTCTCTGACCTAATTCTGGAGTTCTCCCAAGGGTTACATTGCTATCTGGAAAGAAACCAAAATAGAGATAATACAATTGTTGTGGAATCTTTGCTTCACTGTACACATAATGTTGTCTTTTCAACACATGCATTCATTTCTAAAAGTCTCCAGAACTGAAGCAGATACCTAAATCCAACCACCTCTGAGTGGCCCAGCAGAAAAATCAATTCACAGGCAAAGTGAGGCAGAGGAGGTAATTACGGTACCTTTCTCTGGCCAGGGAGCGCTTCCTTCGTCCATTCAGAACAAAAGGACCAAGGATGCATGTCCCTTCCTGGGATTTCCAAGTTGTTTGCTCTATCCCAGAGGCTTTGACTTTCTACAGGAGAGGTCTGTGCAGGCAGGCTGTTGCTGCAGCCCACAGGCACTACGTGGGACCTGCAGGATGCTCCCGAAAGCCCTTTTCCCTCTGGGAGAATTCATTGCAGAAGGAAGATGCAAACTGAGAGACCTAGGCCTGTGCCAGCCTTGTGAAATGGAGATGTTGGAGCGCTTCAACAGCAGAGAGATGGATATCAACAGAAATGCTGAAGGAATTAGTAATATATGTTTTGGGAGAGGTACACAGCCTGGCACACTTTAATGAGATGAAAATGTTCCATAAGTTTGTACATAACATCAAAGGAGTCTATAGGCTGAGATGCCATCACATTCTTGATGTTTCTGAAAATTGGTCCTATACAAATCCCAAACAAGTATGGAAAAAGCCCCCAGCTCTGCCACATACAAGAAAGTGTTGGAGTCAGCCTCTAATTTAAAAGGTCAGTTTATAGTGCAGGCTCTTAAGAGCTGTTGCTGTGAACTGAAATTGCAACTCTGCCTCCTTCATCTCCTGCAGAGGTCATTTGTCATCAGCCGTGCAGCAGCGTGGAGCCAGTGGTTTTCCTCATGCCTTGTAATGCCTCCCGCTGCTCTGAAGGGACATTCAGCTCTTCTGCAGGGGGCCTCTGAATGCATCTGCCCAGTGGGCCTTCCAGAGCCCCTCTGCTCCCCCGGGAATTTCCCTCCACGGATCACACATTCCTCCCAGCTCATTGCCCCAGGCTGGTCAGAGAGAACAAGAAGAACTGGAAAAAAGGACCGGAGCGCTCTACTGTTTTTTTGTGCTATGTTGTTGAAGCCACTGGTATCTTTATTGGTCTTCTCTACACTTTCCAGTAAAACAAGATCTATTTAGGAAGCAGCTTTAGGATGGCTGATTTAATTTTCCATTTCAACTGTGGTTCTGCATATATTTAGTGGACTGAAATCACATTTGCTTCCCTCTGTGACCCTCCTCTTACCTGTGTGCTAGATATTAACTAAGTCTTTCTTTCTCTTTCTCTGTTTTCTCTAGTACATGGGCTGTATTGAAGTACTGCAGTCAATGAGGTCCCTGGACTTCGGCACCCGAACGCAAGTCACCAGGTAGGTGGTATCAAACCGAAATTCAGCCCGAGAATGAAAAGCCTCAGCACTAATTTCTCTATAAAGCCAAGGGTGCGTGCCAAGCTCTGAGACAATTTGGAACAGGACTTTGCATGTTTTATTTTGTTGTGTTTGTTTTTTTTTCCCCCCAAGCGATGATTAGAATTATTTGATCATTACAATAGGCTTATTTGCACTGGAGAATGAATTGTTTCAGCCACAGACCTAATTTCTCTGCCAGTTCTTGTTCTGGTTGCCAGCGGCCTCCCCCTGCAGCCGCAGCACCGTACAGACATGCCCAGCTAGCTGGGTGCCAGCAGCAGCCAGGCCATGGCAGCAGCCGGCTCGGCGTTGCCTGCGCAACTCGCCAAGGACATGGGATGAATCCCCTGGTGCTGCCACGGCTGCGGGTGGCCAAGGTGGCCAGCCTAGATGCTCGCAGGCCTCTGTGCTGCCCTGCCTCACGCCTGATGCAGAAAGTGCCATTGGTCCCTCCATTTAGCAAGGTCATCTAATGAGTCTGTATTGGGCACGAGGCATGCTTGACCCCATCTGCACGAAGGCCAGGCTCAGCTGGAAGTGGAGTCACAAGGAGACCATGTCGAAATAGAGCCATTGCCAACTGTAGAGTAGGCCTATGTTTCTAGGCTGCAAATCAGAAAAAGATTACTATTTTGCTCTCAGTTGCAACTGAATGTGGTTTAAATGTGAAATATTTTTTGATCTTTCGAGAAGTTGCTCATTGCTGCCAGTCACTGGTTGTAGATTATTAATATACACACCTGCAGGGTTGCTGAAATGTCCTGTCAGGAACAGAAAAGCCCAGTTTTGTATTTATGTTCATTCTTTAAGTCTGTCAGTGCAGGAGCGTTTGAGTTTTCAAAATTAGCACCCTTTTTTCGGCTCAGAGCACTGTTGCTGCTGGGATGCACTCAGGGTCCAGCAGCCAGGACTAGTGCTCTGCCACACAGACCCGGCAGCCACCTGGCAGCCCAGCACCTCCAAAGACTTCCTGGAGGGGTGGGTGGGTGCTGAATATTTTGGCCTGGTCTTAGACGTGTTCCCTCCTCCCCTCAGCTATTTTTCTGGCATGGCTCATGCTGAGGATGCCAGGAGTGTGGTTGAGGCT